AAAGAACAGAGAGGAAGAAAAGGCCATCTGAAAGCACATGAAAACTCTATGCTCTCCTGTAAGGTAAGTATAGTAAAACTAAGATTGCTCATGACCAGAGGGCACTCACACTTCGGTTGGTCTTAAAATGAATGAAATGAGTTTTTCAATTTTAGCAGTAACTTTTAAATAGTTACTTTCAAGAATTTAGTATGATTTTTTATAGTAAAATAACTTTCGCAAGTCAGATTCACATGTGATCAAGATAACTTGTTTAACTAAATATATTTGTAGAGCTTACCCTAAATGCAGAGTCCCCGTCACAGTTCTAAATTAACTTGTCATTTAAAAAAACAAACAGACAAAAAACAGACCCTACCTTCCAATCAGGGTCATGTTTTCGTTTGTCCAATGACGATTTCTCCTTGGCTTTCTTGTAAGCTTTCTTTTCTTCAGCCATTAAAAGTCTAGCAATTTCCTAAACAAATTCAGTCCATATTGTCATTGATTACAGAGTTGCAGGTAGAAAATTACTTTCCAAAGAATATTGGCTAAACAAAGTTATTAACTACCATGAACTCACCTCATCCTGGGCCACTTGAGCTGCTCTCAGATCCACCTGGGTAGCCTGTAGTACAGAAAATACAACAAAAAATTTAATTGGATTCTATGCTGTCCATTTTTGAAAATCCTACATAAAAATAAACTGGTTGCGATTAACATCTTTCAAGTTGATAAGGGTTGGTATATATTTGCCAGTTAAAGCGGGGTCTATTTTTAACCAAATTCTGTAGCAGATTCTTTGAGAATTATCAGAACTCAATAATGGAGAAATATGTATATAGAATTCTATTGCTAACACTTACTCAGTAAATAAAACTACATACTCTAATCCTGTTTTTTTATTTTTCCACCAATAAAAAAAAGGGTATTAGCTCCTTAACTGATAAAGGACTATAATGCATATTATATAATCTCAAGAATGACTCAATTCACAAAAAACCTCATTCACCTGAACTTCTGCATTAAAATTTGCTCACCAAAATTTCTTCTTCCTGCAGTTTTCTGGCAATTTCAGCATCATACCATTCCTGATTTCTGGAGGTCACTCTCGATGGAGTAGAAATTGATTCTTTCATCCCCCTTGGCTTCACTCCTAGAAAAAACTCAATACAGTAAGGCAACCAAGTTTGTTTTCCAAATAGTTGCAAAATTTATGGTAAAAACAAACAAACAAAAAAACACCACCTTTACCTTAAAGTTACCTTTCTTTGCTATCTAACACTGACAATACTGCTGCCACTCCAAAATTCAGTGCAGGGTGCACTAGAAATAATTTTTCCCCTAAAACATGGAAGTGGTGATGCAGACAATCCACACATTTAAAGTTACCCACCCAACCCTTCCTGGTAAAACCTCCCCTCTCACAGTTTCTTCAAGAACAGGAAATTAGGCTATCAGGTTAGAGAATGTGAGGCTTTTGCAAAACAGAAAGTAAAAAAAAAAATAATAAAAAAATAAAAAGGGGGGTGGCTAGCCAGTTTGGCTAAGCAGATAGAGCATCGGACTTCGGACTGAAGGGTTCCAGGTTCGATTCCGGTCAAGGGCACATGCCTGGGTTGCGGGTTCAATTCCCAGTGGGGGGCGTGCAGGAGGCAGCGGATCAATGATTCTCTCTCATCATTGATGTTTCTATCTCCCCCTCCCGCTCCCTTCCTCTCTGAAATCAATAAAAATATATTTTTGAAAAATCTTAAATTTTAAAAAAGGTAAGTAATGAAATAAATAGAGTTCAGAGGAAAGAAAGGTACAGAGCTGAGGTTTTAAAGAGGCTAAGCTGTCAAGCCTGGGGAAATGAGAGACTTCCTTCTATTTGCTTCAGCCTTGCACACCTTCCCTCCAAGAGAATGGAACAGCATCCCAGGGGAGTTGTGACCGAGTATCTTTTAGCACCCAGTGGTCCTGCTGTGGCTTCTGCTTTGATTGCCAACAAGCCCACTTGCTTCTCCTATCTTCCCTATAGCTCTGACCAGTTTTCTGTTGTGAAATTTTATGCAGGGTATAACATAAACAAAACAGACCACAATGACGCTAGAGTTTTACTCCTCTGAGAAAGGAACAGGCAGGGATGAGGGGGGATTTTGGCTTTTTATTTTGAAATTTTAAATGCCACATACATTCATTTTATAACTTTTAATAGACTGATAAATGCTAATGGTCATTTCAAAATTGTGGATAGTTCCTTCTTTGTACCCTCTCTAAATTACAACTATTCAACAATGTGAATACATTATACTCAGAAATAATAAAAATGTTGAATGCAGTGAATGAGATTAACTATCTGAAATAGCGACTTCAGTAAATGGATTGCTGATGGGAGAAAGAAAATTCACTCCTGTTTATTTCTTTATATCAGTGGTTCTCAACCATGGCTGTATACTAGAATCACTTGTGGTGCTTTAAAGAAACACACACAAAAAACTTGACCCAAATCCCAGGGATTCCAATTTAAGTAGCCTGGAGAGATCTTGCCTTTAGTATTTTGTTTTTTTAAAAATCTTTAACAGTTGCTTATTTGCAATTAGCATTAGAACTACCAGTTTAGTGTGTTATGTCCATCAAAATAACCACACATTAAAATGGCTTTTAGCAAAATGCCTCACCACACTTGATTTGCTTGCTTTAAACAAAAAAAGAAAAAAGGAAAATACAAGAAAATACAACCAAATTCTGGGCAGATGAAGAGAGTAAGTTTTCTGGTGAAGCCTTTCTTAGTAGAGCTTTGAACCTAGCTTTGCGGTAAATCCTAAAGCCACAGACTCATCTGCCCTTCCCACACAAAATAAGACTATTAAACATGGTTTTCTTAGCTTCAGGCCAATTAGTACATGACTGCCCAGAAGAGAATCCACTTCAACTTCCCATCGTTTCTAGAGCTACTAACTCTTATGCAGGCGGGCCTGGTTTTAATCCAGATTTCTGAGTGGTTTGGGACAATCACAAAACAGTAGCACACTCCCAAGAGTGGACCATATTTAAGTGGAATATAAACCTCCCTGAGTTATGATTAGTGTGGTGATAGTTAGAAAGGAATATTTTAGATAAAATAAATAAAATTATATAAGGAAGTTCGTATTGGGCAGTCAATGGACAAGGTAGATTGCTGTATCATATTCTTATCTATAGAAAAAAGACACATTGAGCAGCCCAAGGCCTAGTTGAGGACAACAGGAAAGATTACCCTTATCCCTTGCCCCTTCAATTTTGCCATCCAGTGAAAGAAACAATATAGTGGGATATGTTCAACTTTCTCCACTATTATGCCTCCTACTCTACATCACAGAATTAACTGAGAAAATGTTTTAATATCTATCAAAGACACTTGGAAGGTGTTCAAATGCAATAGTCTTAATTGGCTTGACAGTTGTTTGAAAAGACTGTAATCTCTTGGCAGTTAAAGAGAGAATGATACATAGATCAATGGAACAGAATAGAAAGCCCAGAAAAAAAAGAAAATAAAAAACTTTTAACATATGATCACTTGCAACAAATGAACCAAAAATATATAATAGGAAAAGAACAGTCTCTTCAATAAATGGGGTTGAGAAAAACTAGACAGCCACATGTAAAAAAACGAAGCTGGACCACTATCTTCCACCATATGCAAATATTAACTCAAAATAGATTAAATAATTAAACATAAGATCCAAAACCATAAAACTCCTAGACATAACATAGCCAGTCAGATCCTTAACATCGGTCCTGGAGATGATTTTTTGGTCTTGACACCAAAAGCAAAGGCAACAAAAGAAAAAATAACAAGTGGGACCAATCAAACTAAAAAGCTTCCACACAGCAAAAGAAACCATTAACAAAACCAAGGGCAACCTACCAAATGGAAGAAAATATTTGAAAATCACATAGCTAATAAGGGGGTAGGTATATGAAAAGATGTTCAAAATCACTAATTAACAGGAAAATACAAATAAAAAAACTTGTTAGAATCGCTATTATAAAAATAAATGTTAGTGAGAATGTGAAGAAAAGGTAATCACTATGAACAGTTGGTGGGATGTAAACTGAATTAGTGCAACCATTATCAAAACCAGTTTGGATGTTTCTTGAAAAATTAAAAATAGAACTACTATATTATCCCTCAATTCCCATTCTGGATGCTTATCTGCAGAAAGTGAAAACACTAACTGGAAAAGGTATATGCACCCATGTTTACTAAAGCATTGTTTACAACAGCTTAAGACATGGAAATAACCTAAGAGCCCACTGATGGATAAATGAATAAAGGAGCTGAGGAATAGTCATGTGCTGCTTAACAAGGAGAACAGTTCTGAGAAATGCATTGGTAGGCGGCCTTATCATTGTGGGAACATCATAGAGAAGGCTTACACAACCTAGATGGTACAACCTGCACACCAGGCTATACTATATAGCCTATTCCTCCTACGCTACAAGCCTGCATAGCATGTTACTGTACAAAACAACATGAGATCAAAAATCTTAGAGAAAATGATGCAATCAAAAGATAGAGTAAACACGAGATGTAGGAAGCTGTTGCTGGCATAATGGGATATACTGTTTTACAGCAAAGTCTTTTTTTTTTTAGTAAGTAAAAAGAGTGCACTCTAAAACAGCTAGAAGTATAGTAGATACATTAAGCCAGTAACAGAGTTGTTTATTATCAAGTATTATGTACTATACATAACTGTATGTGCTATCCTATATAATAAAAGGCTAACATGCAAATCAACCTAATGGTGGAACGACCAGTTGCTATGACACAGACTGACCACAAGGGGACATATGCTCAACACAGGAGCTGCCCCCTGGTGGTCAGTGCAATCCCACAGGGGAGCACCGCTCAGACAGAAGCTGGGCTCATGGCTGGTGAGCACAGCAGCAGTGGCAGGAGCCTCTCCTGCCTCCGCAGCAGCGCTAAAGATGTCTGACTGACAGCTTAGGCCTGCTTCCCATAGAAACCAGGCCTAAGCTGTCAGTTGAACATCCCACAGGGCCTCCTGGGACCCACCCCTAAGTGCACAAATTTCATGCACCAGGTCTCTAGTACTTTTATAAGATTGGCAGCCCAGGTTTGTTTACACCAGCATCACCACAAACTGGTGCCTTGTGCTCTGACACTGAGATGGCTATGATGTCACTAGCCAATAGGGACTTTTCAGCTCCATTGTATTCTAATAGGACCATCATCATATATACAGTCTGTGACCAAAATGTCATTTTTGGCAACAAAAAATGGAATATTACTTAGCCATAAAAATGAAATCTTGTTATGTGCAACAACATCATGCTAACTGATACAAGTCAGAGAGAGACAAACACCATATGATTTCACTTATATGTAAAACCTAAGAAAAAAAAATGTGCTCACAGGTACAGAATACATAAAAAAAAATAAGTCATGGAAATGTAATATACAGCATGTTGACTACAGTTAATAATACTATACTATATAATAAAAGGCTAGTATGCAAATAGACCGAACAGCAGTACAACCGGACAACCAGTCACTATGAGCATATCAGGGGACGCACATGGAACATGGCAGACATCGGAAGCAGGCGGCAGGATGGTGGAGCAGGTGAGTGGGGGCACCAGACCAGGGCAGGATGCTGGTTGCTGTCACTGGGGCGAGCCTCTGTGGTTACTGAAAATTCTTTGCTCCTGTGCGCCGTGGTCCTGCCCGGCACTCGCATCTGCTGTCGATGCCAGCCCTGTTCACACCCGCTCCTGGCCCCAATCGCTCTGCACTGTCAGCAGATGCAAGTGGGGCCAGTACTGTCAGCACATGGGAGCGGTGGCAGCGGGAGTGGAGCTGCTGGCAGACAGGTGACAAGGGGCTGTGGTGGGTGGGGCTGGGCGGGGGCATGGAGGATGGGCAGAGACCCACCCCTGGGCCCACTGTAGCCTCGTGACCCACAGTTCCTTTCAAGGTGCATGAATTCCTGCACTGGGACCCTAATATTGCATATTAGAAAGTTGCTAAGTGAGCAGATCTTAAAAGTTCTTGTCACACTCACAAAAAATTATACCTGTATATGGTGATAGATGTTAACTAGACTTGCTGTAGTAACCATTTCACAATATACATAAATGCCAAATCATTATGTTGTACACTTGAAATTAGTATAATGTTATATGTCAACTATACCTCAATAAAAATAGTTAGAATTTGAAGTACTATCTCCCTAAGTTCCAAATATATAGTGGAAAAACAGTTTATTTGTTCTCTTGCTTTACACTGGAACTTGCATGTCTCATTAGTAGAAATTTCCATAGCCCAGAATAATTTCTGGAACTTCAGCCAGTGCAATCTAAGGCTATCATTACAGAAAACAGGAATGCTTTAAAAGCACAGATAATTGAAGAAAATTAACAGAAAGGCTGTCCTCATTTTAATAGCCTAAACATATTTTGAAAACTCACTTTCAACAGTTCCACATTAATTTCTTAATCTAATTTTTCTTGATTTTGGTGGTGTTGTTTTTTTCTGTTTATGATTCTCTAGTATAAGAACATAAGACACTTCCTCAGTAAAAAAAAATAAAATAAAATAAAACTTACCTTTAAATAAATTCTGCTAGGAACAAGGTAAAATGATGGTGACAGATTCTTTAGTATAATGCAAGAATATTTTATCATAAGTCAGTTTGACACTTGGGGGATGTCATACCAGAAAGGTACAGAATTTTATGAACCTGAGAGGCCGAAGGTTAGCCTGAAGAAAATTAACAGGCTGACATGATATTAACAGCTAAATAGAAAAGTTACCCTCAAAGGTGGTATGGGTGTCCTGGCCTTAAGAAGGTTAACCAATTTTATATTTAATTTAGCAATTTTATTTTGCATTCCCTTTTCAACTGACTGTAAAATCTGGTCCTGCAAATGCTTACTTAGAGCAAGCTATTTGTTGTCCTGCTAGTTTCCTGATTATTAATTATGAGGGAAGTTATTAATGCTAATAATTAAGAATAGACACCTGTGCCTAGTAACTATCCTATCTAATAAAAGAGAAACATGGTAATTGGCGTACGACCGCTACCCTTCCCATTGGCTAATCAGGGTGATATGCAAATTAACTGCCAGCCAAGATGGTGGCCGGCAGCCAGGCAGCTTGAAACTAACATGAGGCTTGCTTGCTTCAGTGACGGAGGACTCCAACGTTCCC